AAATTTGGATTTTTTGGGGATTTTTTGGTGGAAATTTGGATTTTTTGGGATTTTTTTCCTTCATCTCCGCCCCGGAAATGGGAACTGAACCCACCAATGGTTTTGTCGATTTCTCCTGGAAAAACAGAAGGAAAAAACAAAGTTAAAAGAATTTAAAAGATTTTAAAATAATTAAAAATAATTTAAAATAATTTAAAATATTTCAAAATCATTCAAAATAATTCAAAATAACTAAAATTAATCCAGAAGAATTTAAAAGGATTGAAAATAATTCAAAATAAATAATTGAAAATAATTGAAAATAATTTTAAATAATTGAAAATAATTTTAAATAATTCAAAATAAATAATTGAAAAGAATGGAAAAGAATTGAAAAGAATTTTAAATAATTCAACATAATTTAAAATAATTGAATGGGGTTTATGTTACGTTATCACTATAACATATTATATCTTATACTAAATTATTTTATTTATTATACATTTTAGATTATGTTATGTTATGTTATGTTATTTCATTAAACTATATTACATTTTATTTTATTACAATTTATTTTATTTTGCCTTTTTATTTTATTATATTTTATGTTGTTTTATTTTATTACATTTTGTTTTATTTTATTTTATTACATTTTATTTTATTTATTTTATTCCATTTTATTCCATTTTTTTTTTATTTCCCCACCATTCAATTCCCACCCATTTTCAGGCAGAAAAAAATTCAAATTTCAGCCGGAAATTTGGGGCAAAAAACCTCGGATTCGGTACTGGAAATGAGAACGACCAACCTGGCTCCTTTTCCTCCTTTTCTTCCTCCACTTCCTCTTCCTGTTTTTCCTCTTCTTCCTGTTTTTCCTCCACTTCCTCTTCCTGTTTTTCCTCCACTTCCTCTTCCTGTTTTTCCTCTTCTTCCTGTTTTTCCTCCACTTCCTCTTTCTCTTTTTTTTCCTCCTCCACTTCCTCTTCCTCCTCCTCCACTTCCTCTTCCTCCTCCTCCACTTCCTGTTTTTCCTCCTCCTCCACTTCTTCTTCCTCCTCCACTTCCTGTTTTTCTTCCTCCACTTCCTCTTCCTCCTCCACTTCCTCTTCCTCCTCCACTTCCTGTTTTTCTTCCTCCACTTCCTCTTCCTCCTCCACTTCCTCTTCCTCCTCCACTTCCTCTTCCTCCTCCACTTCCTGTTTTTCCTCCTCCACTTCCTGTTTTTCCTCCTCCACTTCCTCTTCCTCCTCCNTTTTCCTCCTCCACTTCCTGTTTTTCCTCCTCCACTTCCTCTTCCTCCTCCTCGTCCTCGGGGCTCCCCCCTGAGCGGAGTCGAAGCCCCCCGGAGTTCATCACCTCGTTAATCGTTGTAATTAATTAATTAAGAGAATTATCAGTGTAATAAAGGGAATTAAAATGAGATATAAAATATATCACAGTTAGTCACCTCGTTAATCGTTGTAATTAATTAATTAAATCATTATCAATGTAATAAAGCAAATTAAAATGAGATATAAAATATATTGCAGTTAGTCACCTCGTTAATCGTTGTAATTAATTAATTAAGATCATTATCGATGTAATAAAGCGAATTAAAATGAGATATAAAATATATTGCAGTTAGTCACCTCGTTAATCGTTGTAATTAATTAATTAAATCATTATCAATGTAATAAAG